AGGGAAAATCAGGCTTTAGTGAACAAGAAGCACTGATAATTCTCACATGGGATATGATAAAAAGTTTGCACTATGGATGATTCATAGTAGAAAAAGGGACTCTATATGTGACCAAAAGCTTTAAGAACTTGAATAGAGACTTTTTCCCTCTAAATTTGACACTAAATTATAACAAAAAATAAATGGCTATCATCCAACTTATTTATAAATTATTGTTTTATTGGGTTTTGGTTGAAAATGGTTTTGCCCTTATACATTGTACTAAACAGAATAAGAATATAAGAAGAACCCTGGTGAATCAGACCAATGGTCCACCGAGTACAGCATCCTGTCTCACACAGTGGTCAACCATTTCCTCTGGACAGCCAACAGTAGGACAGAGTCCGAGGCTTTCCCATGATGTTGCCTCCTAGCTTTGGGATTCAGAGGCTTAGTGCCTGTGAATGTGGAGGTTCCCCTCAGTCATCATGGCTAGTAGCCACTGACAGACTTATCCTCCATGAATCTATCTAAGCCAGAGGTATCAAACATAAGGCATGGGGGACAGAACTGTCCCATCCAGGGCTCTTATCGGGCCCGCGAACAACTGGTGCGATGGAGGGCACAGGAAGCTGCTGGGGGGGGGGAGTGGATGGACCTCTCCAACTGGGGCTTTAGCAAGGCGGAACAACCTCATCTGCAGCAGTCAAGCAGAACCCCTTTTCTTCAGTGGTAGCCTCACTGGTAATTTGGGAGCTGCCACAGCTGCATTTCTGCCAGCTCTGGATTTCAAGGTGAAGTTGCATGCCTCTCTGTTTGGCCTGCAGTTTCAAGGATTGGCATTTGCATGTCAGAGTGCAGAGGATCCTCTGCTGGGACCTGCTGGCATCCAGTGCAGCTTCCATATACGGGCCCCCCCCCCACAACAGCTGTGCTTTGGTCCATGGGGGGCATTCTTTGGCAGTTTCTTCCACACATGGGGGCCTGGTCCTGCCACCAAGCACACAACTCAGTGGCCAGGTCTCCCTCTTCCATGGAACACCTGGTGGCCCTCAGCCATAGGTAGCTATCACCTGGGGGGGAGGGGCCGGCAATCTCAGGCTATATTGGTCACTTGATGCCCCGGGGCCTCTGCTGCATACACAGCTATAATGTACTGAGACTGACGCATCGTTGAATGATTTCAGCTCATACTTTACTTAGTGATTTCAAGAACTTGAGATACAAGGGCAAGCCCGAGGGCTGCTTAAATGCACTCACACAAACACACTCCCACACACCCGTGATTGGCCTATTTACATTAACCTCCATTTGATAGGTTTCCTTGAGGATTCGGATTAGCCGATAGGATCCCCTGTGCCTATTGTTTCTGAGAGCGAGGCTCTGGCTGTTCGGGAGACCGCATGCTCCGTGCAACCACGTGCACAGTTTCCGTTGGAACACAACACCCCTCCCCCCATAGTCCAGAGTCTTCTCTAGCAGAAATAGTCTCTCAGATATTCGGGTTTGCGCCGTGCTCTTGAAGAACGGTGCACCTCTGGGATTTGTGTCGGCGTTTCTGGAGTTGGGCTTGCAGGTCTCTGAGGTGCGCCTGGAACGTCGAGCTCGGTGGGCGTGCCACTATGGTGTGGGGGCCAGTGTAGAGTTGACACCATCATCGTTCAGGGTGCTTGTGGAAGCCGGTGGTTGAGCGGGGCCTTCCGGCTCCTCTGGGCTGGCTTCCTCGACTTCACTGTCTTCGGGTGCCTCGGGATCGGGGTTGGTGAGCCGGCGGCGTAGCTGGTCAATATGCCTCTTGAGCAACTGCCCATCTTCACAGGATACTTCATAAGAGCGTGGTCCCGTGACCCGGACTATTTTGGCGGGGATCCAAGTGGGGCCCTGGGCATAATTTCTGGCATACACCAGTTCCCCAGGGAAGAAGCCCCTGGTGGCCACTTGGCCCTGGTTTGCCATGTCGTGTTCTGGAGCCCGGTCTGGGTGGAGGTGGTCTAACCGGGTGGTGAGGCGCCGACCCATGAGGAGCTCGGCTGGACAATGGCCTGTGGTGGTATGGGGGGTCATATGCTGACCAAACAAGAAACCTGCCAGCTTGTATTCCCAATCACTGCGATCCATGTGGCGGAGCGCGTTCTAAGTTGTCCTGACCATGCGCTCCGCCTGGCCATTTGTGGCTGGATGGAACAGGGCTGAGCGTACATGCCTGATGCCATAGTATTGTGTGAATTCCAGAAATTCAGTGGACGTGAATGCTGTTCCATTGTCGGTAACGATACTGTCTGGTAACCAGTGTGTGCTAAAAATCCGCCACATTGTGCGGATGGTGGCTCTGGATGAAGTGGAGGCTACGGGGACTACCTCCAGCCACTTTGTGTATACATCGACCAATATAAAAAAGATTTGTCCCTGAAAGGGCCCCATGAAATCCAAGTGAAGCCGGGCCCAGGGTTTGTGTGATAATTCCCAGGGCCAGACTTGTACCTTTGGTGGCTCCGGTCGCGACTCCTAGCATTTCTAGATGGGCAGTTGGTCCTCAATCTCATTGTCGAGGCCTGGCCACCATATATAGCTCCGGGCTAGTGCCTTCATGCGCACTATCCCGGGGTGGGTCTCATGTAGCGCCTTAATCACCCATTTGTGCAGAGGCATGGGCACCATTACCTGGCCGCCCCATAGTAGGCACCCTTTGTGTGATGACATTTCTCCCTTCCTAGAGATGAATGCCATGAAATCAGGTTCCACCGAGACATTAGGCCACCCCCTCCCCACCCAGTCCAAAACCCGGGACAAGATGCGGTCCTGGGCAGTGTGCAGGGAGACCTCCGATAGGCGGCTCCTAGGATCCTCTGTGCCTATTGTTTCTGGGAGCGAAGCTCTGGCTGTTCAGGAGACCGCATGCTCTGTGCAACCACGTGTGCGGGTTCCATTGGAACACAACAACAGCCTTGTGCATGTGGTGCCCACTCCCCCATCAGACAATCCAGCAGCGTTCAGCCTGGGGTGGCTGCCACAACATGGGCATAACACTGCTTGCCAGTGATCTCTGGCATGAACCCCCAGCATTGACCTGCCATGGATTGCCTAGAGGCCTTGACAAGAGGCAGCCAGTGGTTCATGGGCATCTCCAGTTTATCAGGCTTGCTTGGCCTACGTCCAGCTGTGAACATGCCTTTGTGCCTGGGCCACTGCCCCCTCATTTCTGCAGTTGGGTGGGTAGTTCAATTTCTCTTCACAGAGCCCTTCCATGGTTGTTTGGGAGCAGGGGAAGCTCACAACAGCTATTTGCTTTGTGTTTTTACCATGGGGCCTGGGCTCACGGCATTAGTTGTGGGAGTGGACTGGGGAAAGGGGTTTGCCTCACCTCCAAGTAGCGTGGCTCTCCAATCTGCCCATGTGGATTTTCCTCTGCACAGCCCCCTTCAGCCCATAGGGCATTGCAGTGAGAAAACACCAACTCTTATCCCATGACTGCTAAATTTACTCAGGAGTCTTTGGTGAGGTTCCTTGTCAAAAGCCTATTGAAAGTCCAGGTACATAATGTGTACTAGGTCACCATGATCTACATGCTTGATCACTTTCTCAAAGAACTCCAAAAGGATGGTGAGGCAGGACTTCCATTTGCAGAAGCCATGCTGATTTTCCCTCAGCTGGCTTTGTCCCTCAATGTGCCTAACAACTCTATCCAGAGGAAGGAGAGACGTCCCGCTGGACTGAGGGCCGAGAGACATCTGCAGCCGAAGAAGCCAGAGGCCGGAGAAGAACCGTCACCACCTAGGGTGCTGGTAGGATGACCCAACCCCTGTATGAATTGTGGCCATAGTTAGGGAATGTAACAGGTGACTAGCACTACTAATTGTAAACCGCCCAGAGACCCCCATGGGGGGGGGTTAGGGCGGTATATAAATCGAATAAATAAATAAATATAAATAAATAAATACAATTTCTACAAACATGCCTGAGACAGAAGTTAGGCTGACTGGCCTATAATTTCCTGGTTCCCTTCTAAATCCTTTTTTAAAAATGATGTCACATTTCCTACTTTCTGGTCTTCTGGTACAACAGTCTACCATCTCCTTATTTTCCTTTAGAAATCCCTTGATTCCTTTGTTTGAGACCAGTGGCACCTTTAAGACCAACAAAGTTTTCTTCAGGATTATAAGCTTTCATGTAACGTACCCTTCTTCAGATACAATGAAATGAAAATTACCGGTCCATACATGTAGGTAGACAGTGAGCAGAAAATTAGCACTAAGTATAATGAAGACATTTAAGAAATTCAAGGACCAAACAGGAATAACAAGCTAAGTCTACATGGTAACCATTTGTTTGGGTATGCCCTCTCATAAAGCAACCTCGGTTAATTCTCCCCAGTGTTCTAGCAGTTTAGGAAAGGCCGCCCCCCCCCCAAAAAAAACCCTCACATTCCCAGCAGCTTTTTCCTTGGTCCTGTCTCCTAGCCCAGCTGGCTTAGTTTTGCCTCTGCCTAGGAAAAGCCTTCCAATGTAGTGCGGCATTCTGAATCGTTTGTTCTACTATTTCAAGATGGGTTTTTCCCCCTCTCAAAGCAGGAAAGGTGTGCAGAGACAAATATTATTCATCATGCAGCTATAAACAATCCTTACCTTCACCAGCTAAAAACTTTTCCATGAAATTGCCAAAGTCTCCTGCTGTTTCAAATTTGACTGCAAATTTGGAAAAATGGTAGTAGGAAACCAAGACATCCTTTGGGTTTCTTGACACATAAATAACCTGCAATCATAATGATAATTAGAATAAAACCAATAAATTCTATTGGGTTAAGCTGATGAAGCACCTAGCAGTGTGTCACAACTTTTGTATCTGATTCTCCCAGTATTCTCTTATGTTGTCTTTATGGTTTCCATTCACTCTGATTTATTTATATTGAGGGGTTCAGAATAAAACATTGCTTCTTGAGGATGCTTGATTATGATTGAGCCTAACCCAGCACTGTTACCCATTTGCTACCCCTTATGGCCTTTTTACACTGACCGGATCGCATCAGTTCTTGGCTGCTAAGCAGGGTCGGCTCTGGTTAGTACTTGGATGGGAAACCACCAAGGAAGTCCACATTTGCAGGCAACAGCAAACCACCTCTGTACATCTATTGCCTTGAAAAGCCCTGTGAGCTCGCCCGTACGTCGGCAGCAGCTTGACGGTTTCTTACACACCCACAGCCTTCTCAGATCCCGTGTTTTTGCAACATCCATGCCAGAAGCCTTTGCTCTGGAGAAATTGACCTTGTCCTTCTTTGTGTTTGTTGTTCTCCCCTTCAACCATTTTGATCATCCCTCCAGGCTGCAGAGATGCCTTCTCAACAATATCTTCGATGTACCTCCTTCTCCTCAAGGAAGGTCACCCAACTTTCCCTGTGGCTCTCAGCACCTGCTACGGGCACTGTTCAGGTTGGTGCCCAGCACGCAAGGTTTGCCCAGGCATGGTTTCTTTTCTCCCAGGCATTTTGTTGACTTTCGTGTCTGGAGAGGTATGGATTTATTTAGTTTTTAATCCAATTTCCTTTTGGTATGGTTTTGAAATCTTTTGTGCTCTGCTTTTTCATGCTGTCTCTACTTCTCTCTTGATTATTTATCAGCTGCAGTGCTGACTGCATTACTGTTTGTATGATTTAAAGATACATTGGGGGCACGCTGCTTGCTCTTATTGTTAGTATATTTATTTGTATTGTGTGTCGTATTCATCATTGTTAACTATTTCTGAAACATTACTAAAAATATGGTATTAGCTACTTTAAGAACATAAGAGACGCCAATGGTGGATCGGGCCAAAGGCCCATCCAGTCCAACACTCTGTGTCACACAGTGGCCAGAAATACCAGTGCCATCAGGAGGTCCACCAGTGGGGCCAGGACATTAGAAGCTCTCCCACTGTTGACCCCCCCCCAAGCACCAAGAAGACAGAGCATCACTTGCCCCAGAGTCTATACCTTGTGGCTAATAGCCACTGATGGACCTCTGCTCCATATGCTTATCTAATTCCCTTTTGGAGCCGTCCATGCCTGTAGCCACCACCACTTCCTGTGGCAGTGAATTCCATGTGTTAATCACTCTTTGGGTGAAGAAGTACTTCCTTTTATCCGTTCTAACCCGACCGCTCAGCAATTTCATGGAGTGCCCATGAGTTCTTGTATTGTGAGAAAGGGAGAAAAGTACCTCTTTCTCTACCTGCTCTATCCCATGCATAATCTTATAAACCTCAATCATGTCATCCCTCAGTCGCTGTTTCTCCAAGCTAAAGAGCCCTAAGCGCTTTAACCTTTCCTCATAGGGAAAGTTCCAACCCTTTTATCATTCGAGTTGCCCTTTTCTGCACTTTTCCCAAAGCTATAATATCCTTTTTAAGGTGTGGTGACCAGAACTGCACACAGTATTCCAAATGAGGTCGCACCACTGATTTATATAGGGGCATTATGATATTGGCTGATCTGTTTTCAATACCCTTCCTAATAATCCCTGGCATAGCATTGGCCTTCTTTATTGCAGTCACACACTGTCTTGACATTTTCAGTGAGTTATCTACTACA